TTGACATGCTTTGTTCTGTTTTGTTACATTTAGTTTTACACCTCTTTAAAATAAAAAATAAAAAAAAAGAAAACCTTTTTCTTTGTCTATAACTTTACAAAATGTATGTGGGCCATAGAATATGAGTTTGGAAAAAAAGGTTGAACATAAAATCTAGTGTCTCTTTTCCAATATTCCTGACCAAAAAATACTGGTTCCAGAGAATATCCTATTTTTATATCCATATCATCTCTGTGTAGTAAGAAAGTCATATGTTGTCACTAGCATTTTACACTTAATTTTCCTTAGCTCAGGTGACAAACCTAGCAAGACATAGTGTGAGGCTACTCTTGGTCTTAGAATTGAGCCCAGTGTTTTGATCATCTGTCACATATTTCACATTACGCTGCGCCTCATTCTTTCTGTGAAATGTTCAGTAAAAAGCTATAGTATAACTATGAGGAAAAATACATTAACTTCTATCATTGATACGTTTCAAACAATTTGCAATTTATTCAGTGATAAAGATATGCTAAGCAACCTTTCATACTGGAAACAGTTACCTGTGAAATTGTAGTTTTCACCTGATACACAATTGAAAAGGGAAATTGATCTGTGATTTATGTTTTATTTATAAACTATTATCCCTATTCTACTATAATGATTTACTTGTACCATTGAAAAATGTTTACAAGGAACAAGGGCAACGTTCTTATCGAACAGCAAGGAGGTAAACTACGTAGGATGATACACGTATTTGTGTGGCATGCAGGATTTTAAAAGGTGGTATCTACAAATAAACTATCATTTGTCAATGTTCTCATATTTTGCTAAAATGAAACAAAAAAGAATAAAAAAATAAAAAATGAATATAATCCCACACACAAAACAAACCACATGCAAAAAGGTGGTGAAGGGGCCATGAGTCACATTTAACAAAAGCAAAATAGAAATTCCAAGTAAAGCTTTAATATGACAAAATAAAGCAACAAAGAAGCCATTTTCTAAGTCTATGCTAGAGTTATTTTTACTTTATAAGTTATGTAGCTTTTCTAAACACTAAAGGTTTCATATTTCAAGGATTCCTATAAAATACATTGAAAAGGATAATAGACATGAACTGCATTAGTCAGAACTTGTACTGTTTGCAGAAGATACTTTGAAAGAGCTTGGCTAGTTTAACATGACTGAGAGATAGCATCCATCTTTCACTAGATGCATTTCATGTTTGTAATTTTCCATTATGGGCATTTTCTTTTTTAAGAAAGCTACAACTTAAAATGTAATGGAGAATGAATATTTACTTTATAAAAGGTTGGTTATAACACAAAGGAATTTGAAAAGAGAGTGCCTTAATGTGATGATTCTGTCTAATAAATGAAGCTTTTATTTTATCAAATTTGGTAAGATAGTGAGGTTTAGAAACTCAATAACTCCATGCAAAAAAAGCTATAATTGTTCTTGATTATTCACTTTAAACAAAATCTATTTGAAATCATCTTTTTTTCTGCCAATATAATTTTAGTTCTAAATTTGATAGAGAATGATTTTATCCTTTTAGAACCTCTGAAATGTAATTTTTAGGTATTTGTCTCAACATCAATTCTGAGAAAACCTTAAGATTTTAAAAGTAATATTCCACACTATAATATATAAGCAAACCAGTTGTTTCTTGCATATAATTTTGATGACTTTTAAAATGAGTAAAGATCATATAGAGAGTAAATAAACACAATTAAAATTTGAATTTCAATAAGCATAATAAATGAATATAATGTAATGAAAGTGGGCTCATATTTACAAGCTGAAATATATTTTAAATAATGAAGATCCCCAGATTTCCTGTGACAGTAACAGAGTTAAACACATGAGATTTAATAAATTTCTTATCTACATTATAATTTATATGATTTTGAACATTATTGATTTAACATTTTTAATATTGCAGTTCCACTATAAAGACTTTTATTTATTACAGTCATTACTTTCCAGTAGAACTATTAAAATGCGTGAGCATGTCTTACATTTGTGGCTGGGTATTGCATAGGTTGAGGTGATTGGGCAGACATGCAATATGTGCGATTGGGCAGACATGCAATATGTGCTGTAATTAGAGAAAATGCCAGAGGTGCTTAAAACTGCTTTTTTTTTTTTTTAATATACAAGCTTGATGCCTCTAACTTGAAACAGTCTTCCTGCCTCAGCCTCCAGAGTGATGTGTACATTACCATACTCACCTTGTGCTATGAATTTGTAGGTAGTATTTAATATAATTTTATAGAAAATATCTTCTTAAGAGATTTTAGGTTCTGTACTCTTATTATTTTTACATGCCTAATACATTCAGAATTCTACAAATATACATTTACACAACAGTGAATAACTATTGATCAGTTTATATTAACAATGTTAGATTTTTTAAAATAAAAAACCAGGATCAATAGTTTTACTTACATTTACTAGTTCAACTATAAGATTGTTTTTCTTTAAATCAGTGAATTTTATTGAATAATTTCTTTTTATATTAATATTAGCTAATAATACCTTTTACTTATCACTTTACAATGTTTACAGATAGTTTCCCATGCATAATAAAGTTTTCAACAAATTACATCTTAGTATAGACAACAATGACAAGTTAAACCCTTACAAATACATATATTACAGTAGATTAAGTCTACAACACACTGTGGATTCAAAAAGATATTTCCAATACCAATTTTCTCTATTGCATCCTACAACGAGTCTACACACTAAATTTGATTTCACATTGTTTTAAGAAATTAACATTTCTATTGTCATCAAATAGACACAACCACATGTTTCTTCAAAATTAGTTTCAGAAAGAGGAAATTGTACATGGCATTATTTTAGACAATAATCCAGTGTACTTAGATAATTTCATGATATTACAGGACAGTTTCATAATTTAAAGACCAATTTTATTATACTACGAGTCACTTATACTGGGGTATGTGGGATTACATAAAGTCCAAGCCTTCCAGTATTTTTCATTATTAAATGTTCTCAGAACACACTAAAATGTCTAAATTAAAAAAGAATTAATGAAGATCAGTTATTAATTGCTCATCATTAGGTAGATTCTAAAATCAAATCCACTGGTCTTCAGCTTGCAAGATTAGAATCTTTGAACAGAGCAGCTCAGATCTAGAAAGACCAGCATTGAATGCACTCCTAAGTTTCCTTAAAAAATTGCTTGATCTTACGTACCCTTTTTACTGCTGCTGAGCAAAGCAGAGGAACACTGTACAGGCACCCTCCTGGAGCACAGTTGCAGAAGGACACACATTTGGTTGAACAAACCTACAGAATATTGATTACACTTCATCTGCTAAGCTCATGCCTACTAATTCTTTAGTACTAACGGAGAAATTCGCTTCTCTAACAAACATTCCCTGATCATTGCCTCCTAATTCTACATTAGGGCCCTTTAGATACAACTGTGTGCTTAATCCAATCTCTAGATACAACTGTGTGTTTAATCCAATTTACAAAGTTAGAGAACACCACTGAAGTGATATATTTACATTTTTGTCTTGAAAGCTACAATGCCAAGTTCATGTAGACACCATTGTTATTTTATATTTATGTCCCCAAGATCACGTCCAGTACTGGTTTGTAACAAGTGCTTAGAAAATGTTGATTGAATGGAAGTTGAATGAGAGTACCATGGCCACATCTGGTACACGTGCCACATTAATGGTGTGGAGATGGAAAGATAAGACTTAACTGCTCAAATAAGTAAACAGACAAACAAACAAAAAGAAAAAAGGAAAAGAAAAAGACTAATAGCATATAGCAAAATTCCATGATATAGTCTCCTTAACTAGAATGAATGAAGTTATTTATACCATCAGAGCACATATGCTTTTTTTTTTTTTTTTTTTTTTTTTTTGTACTAGGAATCAAACTCAGGACCTTGCACTTGCCAGGCAGTCACTGTGCCGCTGAGCTAAATCCCTAGACCCCAGAATACATCTTTGATCCTGTTATCACTGACTAATATCTTTATGCATCTATGCATGAAGACATATATGATTTATTATAATGAAATTATTGCTACATAATCAATAAATGTGATTTAGAAAAAGAATTTATATAGCTGCATTTTCCTGAAATTTCATTTTCTACATGTAAAACTTGCATGAAGCTTTCAAATCCTTGTATGCATTCTCTATTTAGTTAAAATGCAATAGAATATTACCACAAAAGCATTAAGATCATGTTAATTATTTATAATAGGATAAGTGATACTTATTTTTACTATATAATAGATAACAAATATCACTGAATTAAAAACATTACTTTATATATGGATCACTCTCCCTGAAATAAAATTTCATTTCCTTCTCTTGGAAAAATGATTTTCCAAAGTGAATTTCAATTTAAAAAAATGCATATGAAGAGATTTCTCTTAAAGTAAAAACATACATGCATTTCAATAAAAAACATAAAAAGATATCCTATATATACAACATTAATAAAATTTTCATGAAAGTAATGAACTTAAAAATAAACCTTTGCAAACTTTCCTATCATTTATGAAAGACATAAGGTATTAATTTATTATCTGCTTTCCTTAACTTTATTCTATTTTTCTAAAACATCTTTAAAATAACATTGAAATGCGGACAGGAGAATATACTTTGGGTATATTTTATAGATAGTAGGTGTGATCAAGGCAATTATAACCGGAGAATAAAGTGGACACACTTGAAATTTTACCACAGTTGCACACAGTAAAGCTCAAATAAGTTGTCTGAAGGGAAAATGCTGCATTCACAGAGCACAAAATACAGTCTAGAAAATATTTCACATGCTTAGTTACTTTGATTTAATTCTTACATGCAACTTCATGAAAGTCTTAGATAAAGTATGTGTTTTGTGACTTCTTTTCCCAAAGACAAAACTATTCAAAAATTTTAGAAATCTCTTAATCACTGCACACTTTACAATGCTAGAGAAGAAAAAAATGAGAAATTATTAATTTTTAAAGTTACCCAGCAACTCCATTGCATCGTCTTCATTATCAATATCTTCCTCTGTCACAGATGGGGTTGGGCTGTGGAGGGACTCAAAGGAATCTTGAGAAAGCATTGCGGCCAGAAGTTTCTTATGCTGCTGCTGCTGCTGTTTTAATCCTTTAGTTTTGGGCTCCATCTTTAAACTGAAGAAATATTTAAATGTCAATTATCTGAGGGGATTAAAGAAAATCTGCAATTTTCATTCCATTTTGTTATGCAAACTTATGGATATATTATTTAAGGTGTCCTCAAGGACTATGGAAATACTGAGTCTAAGACATTCTTTGACCCCTCACCAAAAATTTCAGTGGAGATGAAACTCTTGATCTCACTTAAAAGAGGAATCCATGTAAACCAATTATTGTCCATCAGAAATTAACATTCAGTGTTAAAAGATTTCCTGCCTGTTTTAAGGAGAAGCTAGGAAGTCCATATTATTAGTCTCTAGTTTACTAAGTAAATTCATATCAAGCAAAACACAAGTAATGGGGTGTGTATTTTACCACAGTAAACTAAAAAATTTTTACAAACCAATTTGATTTTTTCTCATATGTGCATTTAATTGGCCCAGAGCTATTTGAAAAAAGACTATCCTTTCCATCACTGAACTGTTGGGCAACAATTATAGTGGTTTTAAGTATATCTTTTTGTAAAGTCTTTTTAGTAACTGATTTTGTGTTATGCATGTGAGATGTATCATAGTTTTAATCATAGAAGTAACAAAATTACTTTGAGTAAAAGCTAGACACCTTACTTTCACTTTCTTTACCTTTAAAAACTTAGTTTTTGTTAGACAGGTCCTGCCTTGTTGTCCAGTCTAGCCTTAAACTCTGTATGTACCCCATAGCTCAAACGATCTATCTTTCTGCCTAAGCTTCATTAGTGTTGTGATTTTAGGCTTGTACAACTACAGTTCTCCTTTCCTACTTTCAAATATTATTATTTTGTGTATCAGGTGGCATTGTAATATTTGTTGCAATAATCAAATACCGTTTTTAGGAATCACAAAGTAAAGTAATCCACTGGATATACTCCTATTTCTGTTTTATTTTTTCTTGATGTTCCAAGATTTGGTCATTTCCTTTCTGTTTGAAGCAAACAGTAGCCCATTCTTTCACTTTTCTTTCGTTTAAAAATGTCTTAATTACCTCTTCAGTTCACTAGCTTTAGAATTTGTGGCCGATAGTTCTTTTGACACTTTCTTCTGGCTTATGCATTTTGTATGAGAAGTCCAAGGTTATTCAAATTGATATTGTCTTAAAGATGATATATCTCTACACATCTCTGGCTGTTTTCAAGGCTTCTTCTTCAGTACTGGCTTCCGTAAGTTTACCTATGATATACTTTATAAGAAATCCTTTGGGTGTATTCTATTTGGAACTTTCTGCAATTCTTGATTCTATTGATTTACACCTCGCAAGGTGTAAATTTATTATTAGAGAACTTTTCAAGTGTTATTCCTTCTGGTTCTTGTTCAACCCAATCACTTTTCCTCTCTTTGGGACTCAGTTATAGGCATATCAGATCTTTTGTTATTCTGTCATAGAACTCTGAGGCTGATATGTGTTTTTCATTTTATTTCATCTTTGTTGTTCAGAATGGATAAATTTCATGCATCTGGCCCTGCTTTTAAAGATTTTATCTTCTGTCATCTCCATTCCAATATCATGTTCATGCAACAAGCTTTTCTTTTTATTTATTTATTTATTTATTTATTTAAGAGGAAAAAGAGAAAAACACAAAACAAACCAAAGCGGCGTAAGGGTACACGCAATACAGAACTACAAAAACAAAACAAAACAAAACAAAATAACATAACAGTAAGAAATCACCTGCTAGTAGATTACACACTATCTTCTTGAAAATAGTTCCTCAAATCACAGTATCAAAGAACACAAGGTGGACATTCAAACAGGGAGACTGCAAACAGCTGTGTTCAATGTTCCAAAAACATTGATAAAGTCAGCTATTTAACACCCCCAAACACACTTGCTGTTATATCCGTTAGAGCTCTTTTTCTTTTTTTTTTCCCCTCTCTTTTCTTTTTATTTTTGTGATTTGTTTTTCGGTTATATAATCTTCAGTTTGTTTTTTTCCAATACCCATTTTTTGCTGATTTTCCATATGTTTATTTACTACAAGAGACTTTAAAATTTTTATTGAAGCATTTTTATGAAGATTTCTTTAAATTCCTATCTGATGACTCTTTTTTCTAATTTATCTCAGGGCAGCATCAGTTGGTCTTTTATCATTCACATATACTGACTAGTTTAGCTCTAGCTATGAATAGTGCTTTAAAAACTGTATCCTGTACAATGGGGCTGGGGATTTAGCTCAGCGGCATAAGCGCCTGCCTTGTAAACAGGCAGTCGTGAGTTCGATCCCTGGTACCGATAAAAACGAAAAAGACCAAAAAAAAAACTGTATCCTGTACAATTTGGCTATGACCTTAGAGTCCTTGGGTCCTATGTAAATCTTTTATTTTAGAATGTAGCCTTCTGTATCTCCTAGTGTAACTCTTTTGTATATAATCACAATAATAATTTAACTGTCAAGAGCTCTTGCCATACATTTTGGTCTGTGTGCTTTATCTAGTGTTGCTCTGACTGCCTCTGATCCTTGCTAGTGAGGCAGAAGCAACATCCTCAGGTAGCATTTTCAGATTCTCCTGATGTTGGAGAAACTCTAGTTAGTGAGAAAAATGGACCTACCTGGTCTGTCTTTGTGGGAGACAACTTGAGTACTCCCCTTGAGTGCAGGACAACTGCTGCAACTTTGATTATATGGAGACTTATTTCCTTATACTGTGTCTTGCTCTTTTGCCTGTTTTCTCCTTGCTGTTTACAGCCGCCATGAACTGGGCCCCAGCCATGCCACCCTGCCTTGGAGCCAAATGAGTATGGACTGAAACCTCCAAAAAACTGTAAGAAATAAACCTTTCCTTTCCCAGCTTTGGGCTTCAAGTATTTTGTCTCAGCAATGAGTAAAAGTAACTAAGACAGCACATATATAAACAAATCCATAAATGATCTTATTGGGAAAGGGAAGAGTTCAAAAAATGAACTCTACATGAAATAAGTTTATGATATCATAAACTTTACCATAACTTGATGGTCCCATAACTTTATGGTATCATTGTTTTGCTATATATAATGATTATGATTATATAAAAAATCCTCATCAGGAAATTCATGTTAAAGAAGCAAAGAACTAACATGTTGCATGCAATATTTAAAAATCAGAAGACCTATGATAGATAAGAGATCATAAATACAGATGGAAAATGTTAATTAGTAAATATAGGTTTATATTATGTGAATATTAATAATTACTACTCTTAAATTTTCTATGCTTTGAAACTTTTCTGAATAAAAGTAATAGAAATTTGAGGAGAAAATAAGAAAAATTAAGAGTATACTTATCAATAATACATATTATGAATTAAAAACTAGTGGTCAACTTAACACCAGGTGAATTAAATCAGCAACCACCTGAAGAAAGTTGCCAGCATAAACAGAGACATGGAGAAGGAGAAGCGAGCATTGTAGGCTTTTCTAAGTGTTGCTGTTGAGCAGTTGGTTCTCCTGGAGGAATTCATCATGACTAGCTTCCTCCATGTGAGTTTGACCATTGTCATGGGAGGAGCTCAGGACCTTGTTGGTGAGAGTGGCTATGGGTCACTTTGAGGAGCTCTGGTCCTTACATCAAGCATCACTTCCAGACTCTGGAGGGGAAAATGAGTGCTGTTTAATCTCCAGGAAAAACTCATCATACTGGCTTTCTGGCTTGTGCTGGGCCATTCTTATGGTCTAAGGAGCTTGGGACCTCTGATTTGCTTGAGGATGGCTGTGGTACTTTTCAGGGCATCCCTGGATCTTATTTTGAGTGTGACTTCTCAGCTCCAGTGTAGAACCCTCAACCTACCAGCACAGCTCCTTCACCCTGCTGGCATAGACTTTCGAGCTTCCATCACTGACCTTTGGGCCTTCCCAGCACAGATCCATAAAACAGACTGGTGTGAGTCCTTCTTGTGGGCTCTAGACCTCAGCTGGACTTGTGGGAGGCATTGTCATGGGCTCTAGGTTTTCATCTGGACTTATGCAGGACATTGCTGTGAGATCCAGGCTCTTAGCTGAATATTCTGGGTCTTCAGTGTTGTGGATGGATTTCCTGCACTTTCTTGTATTTAACTCTGGGTGACCACCATAAAATAATATTATAAATTCTGTGTCTTGATTCTAATTGTTCTCCTCACAACCCTGACTACAATAATATCTATTTGGATTTTAACCTTAAATTAGATTCTCAACACAGACAGTTGCTGAGATGTTATAAAGATGTATCCTTGTTTAAATCCCTTTTAAATTTTTTAATAATTATCAAATAATGTAATTTCAAATAATTAATAAATATGTTTTCCCTATAGTACTAGAGATAAAACTCACTCACTGGCCAAATAATGGAAGAATTTTACTTAGTGCCATTGTCTTGCCATAATGTTTGTTTTCATTTCTGCATGTCTTTTATCTGAGAAACAATGTAACCATTTCAAAGTCTACCTTGACCAACTTTATTCATTGAGAAGTAAACAGAACAAAACAATTTAAAACAAATTTTAATTTATATTCCTTACCTGATAAATCTAACATGAAAAAATTTATTTTAAGTCAACTTATTTTAAAATAATGATATTCATTTATCAATTTAGCTTTTGATTTGAATAGAAGAAATATATATAGATATCACTTTCAGTGAACACAGTTTATTGAAAAAATGCCTAATTTTGCCCAAGTTACTTACTCTATCTTTTTCTTTTTGTATAATTCTATACTGTAGATTATACTAGTACCTACCATATAAGGTGCTGTGACAATTGAAAAGAGCTAGTATTTTAGCAGAGCAGTATACAACTGTATTTATGTTTGTTGACTAAATCATTAAATTTTCTTTTATGATTCTGCATTTTTATATTGCAAACCTAAAAAATAACAAAATATTTCATTTTATAGTATTCTATACTTAACAAAATATGCTTTATGCTTTCTGGTAAAAAGTAGTCACAATTCCTTGGCAAGTTTACCTTTAGTGGTGAATAAAAAGTCCCAAAGTTTTACTGTTTGAAGTAGATGTTTTATGAAGATTC